CCCCAAAAACCCCCCCCCCCCCCCCCCCCCCAAACCCCCCCCCCCCCCCCCAAAAAAAAAAAATCTAGTAAAACCCTTAAAAAATCTAGTAAACCCTCCCAAAAAATTCAGTAAAACCCCTCAAAAATCCAGCAAAACCCCCCAAAATCCAGTAAAGCCCCCTTCCAAAATCTAGCAAACCCCCCAAACAATCTAGTAAAACACCCAAATTTGGACCACAGTGTAAGCGTTCATTGAATATCGCACTTTTTCATTTGTACACAAATTACACAACCGAGTATTACCCTTTTCTTCGGTTCTTGTAGCTCGAGTAATTATCAGCTTTGTGATGTAATTGAAAGATTTGTTTCGGGTTCTTAGGCTTTTTTGGCTGAGAAGTTAGTGTTCTTGCTTCTTGATAACCTTCATTTTCTTAAGATATTTTGTTTATCTTGATTTTCTATTATGGGTTGTTGCTCTTCTGATTCTAAGTTTCTACAAATCATAGAGGTTCTTATATTTTTGTGAACTGCTTTTGGTGATTGACATGAATGAAAATAGCATACAAATACTTGTAGGGGCTTTTCTTGTGTTGGTAGAGTATATGGGTTTGATAAACTCATTGTGTAGCAAGATAGAGGGGTTTGTCCCATTGCTATACTTATTGGTGCTTTGGATATGTTCTAGCTTGAATGATAGATTCTAGTTTTTAGCCAGTGTTCAGAAGGAAAATCCTGCATAAGGACTTTATGATTTGGTTTGATACTTAGCATTTATGGAATTGATTAACCCCTACTGTACTTCTTAGCCTTGTGCTATGTTGTGTGTGCAACCTTGAAGCTTTGTGGATGTAATTGTTATGTTGATCCTGTATCTCTTGTACTTTTCATGAAATTTCATTGTGAGCTCATACCAATGGAAACAAGAACATCAAATTTTGTTTGCTAGATTTTCATAGTCTTTTCCTCTATTTTTATTTGGTTGCTTCCTTGAGGTCTGGTGGAGCTGTTTATGTGACCAACTATGGTGTTTGTTTGCCCAAGACAAAATAATATGATTCAACACATCGAGGGAAACCCTGCTACTTGATTGACACTTGAATGTCTGTACTTGTCTCATCTTGTAGGCAGTACTTATGGATCCACTCCAATATGGTGCGTACTTCACCAATCTCATGCATGATGGAACAAATTTAGATGATGAGATTATAGGTCAATCTTCACAAATATCTCCTCAAGTAAAATTCACCACCAAAAAACAACGAGGTGACAATTTTACAGTAGAGGAATACATTATGATAATCTCGGTGTGGCTTAGTATTAGTTTGGATGTTATGCAAGGAAATGAGCAAAAATCAAAAATATATTGGCAAAGGGTTTACAAGTTCTTCCACGAATACATACCTAAGGCATGCCCTAGTCGTAGTCAAAATTCTTTGAAGAATCGTTGGTCGGCAATTTAGCTGGCCACCGACAAATTTTGTGGGTGCTTTGCACAAATAGACAGACTGAATCAAAGTGATTTGACAGAGAAAAATAAGGTATGAGTGAATGTTTTCTTACAAAATAGTGTACTTTTAATGACATGATAATGAGTTTTGTTGTAAAATTTTTCAGATTTGTGATGCCAAGAACTTGTACAAGGAACTCTATAAATCTTCTTTTCCATTTGAACATTGTTGGAATGAGTTAAGGTATCAACCAAAATGGATGGACGATTCTCAAGCAGATAAGAAAAAAACAAAACATAATGCAACTCCTGGCAGCTCCGTGCATTCTACAGTGGACTCCGTAAATTTAGGAGATGATGGTGGGTCCTATAGATCCTTAAACAGACCACCTGGAAGGACAACTGAGAAACCGCGACTACAAAAATCAAAGAGCAAAGAAGCTAGAGGTGATGCAACAAGTTCTAAACTCGTTAATCTATTAGCAGAGATGAAGGAAGAGAAAAAGGTAATGAATGAGAAGAAATTTGAAATATTTGAAAAATGTTATCTTCAAGAAAAGCAACGTCTATTGCTTGATGGTTTTCGTTGTATTCCCTATCTTCCAGACATTGTCCCTCAATGTATGTATGGTATGTGTGTGAAGGGGAGTGTCAATCTCCCTTGAAATGATGTCAAAAGAAAGGGCAACAGAATGGTGAATGAATGAAATGTGTGTGTATGTGTATGAACAAAAATGCTTCTCAAGCGCAAAGAGACTTTTGTGTGTTGTGTTTGACTTGGAATCGTATTCCAAGGTCGTCTCCTTAGGGAAGGAAGGCGAATCATGTAGAAGGTGATTTTGGTGAAATAAAAGTGTAAAATATTTTTTTGGTTGAAGTTTGAGTTGTGATCGTGTTGTGGTGAAAATGAAATGGGAGACAAGTGTTGGCTAATCCGTAGGGTTCACTCCAATGGGAATGCCAAGTCAACTCGAATCCTTCCTCCAATAGAGCATAGATGTATGATTGATTCGTGGGAAGCTAGGAAAGAGATGGAAGTGAGGATCCAAGCATAACCCGTTACAAGTCTATAGGATATCAAAGACTCACGATCTCATCCACCCTTAACCTAGTCAAACCGAGCCATCGTACTCTAGGAAGAGGAAACAAAATGAGTTGAAATGGTATACCCAAGTGGAGGTCACCCTTGGATTATCCAACTTAAAAGCTAGCTATTCATGCTCAAGGTAAAGACAACAATGTAATGAGAAGATATTAGAAAGAAATGAAGATTGGAGCTTAGTTAACGCAAGAAAACAAAAACTAAAAGGGAGTGCATTGAATATCCATTTTAAAACTAAGAAATGAAGAACTTGAATGCATTAATGGTTAAAGCTTGAATAAGAGATTAAACTTGAAATGAACTTGCAGGAAATAGCATTAAAGGCATTAAATGAAGCTTACCAAGTTCTTACAAAGGATTACAAGACAATGGGTGAAAGAAAATGCAAAAAACTTAACTTCTCTCTCTAACACTATTCATCTTCTTCCTAGACTCTCTCTCTCTCTATATATTACAATGTATATTGAATTATGTTGTATCAAGGAGTCTTGAGCTTCCAAAAACGTCCATGGAGTCAGCCCCTAGTTGTGTGATGTGATCCCAATCAATAGGAGGCTGATTTGGATGGATGGGATGATGCATCTTCTCTCTCCTCCTCATTAATGCAAAAGCCATCCAAGTCCAAGTAGGGGTGAGGGGAGGCTCTTAGACATGCAAGGGATGTCAGGGAATCTGTTGGAGAAGTGTAAGTGGGACCCCCAAATGAGAGAACTTAAGTTACAGGCTATCTGGGCAAAACCTTCTGGAAGGTCAATAGAAACCTTCCGGAAGGTTTGTGCAGGAACAGTTAAATGAAGAAGTCAATAGGCAAAACCTTCCGAAAGGTTCATTCGAGTAGAAAAAACCTTCTGGAAGGTTTCACTCTAGTAGACAAAAACTTCTGGAAGATTCATTCCAATAGACAAAACCTTTCGGAAGGTTTTCAACCAATTTGAATTTTCTCGGTTTCTTCTTCCTTCAAACCTTCCTCTAAGCTACCCCTTCCTCTTCATTGACTTCAAACACTTCAATGGGGGTTTAACTCATACCATTTACATCATTTTACCTGCATTCACACAAAACTCCATAAGA